TCTTACACCATACACAAAGATAAACTCAAAATGGATGAAAGACCTAAATGTGAGACAGGAATCTATCAAAATCCTAGAGGAGTAGGCAGTAACCTCTTCAACCTAGGCCACAGCAACTTCTTGCAAGACACATCCCTAAAAGCAAGGGAAACAAAAGCAAAAATGAACTATTGGGACTTCATCAAGATAAAAAGTTTCTGCACAGCAAAGGAAACAGTCAACAAAACTAAAAGGCAACCTACAGAATAGGAGAAGATATTTGCAAATGACATAACAGATAAAGGCCTGGTATCCAAGATCTATAAAGAACTTATCAAACTCAATACCCAAAAAAGCACAAATAATCCAGTCACAAAATGAGCAGAAGACATGAACAGACATTTCTCCAAAGAAGACATACAAATGGCCAACAGACATATGAAAAAATGCTCCATATCACTTGCCATCAAGAAAATACAAATCAAAAGCACAATGAGATACCACCTCACACCAGTCAGAATGGCTAAAATGAACAAGTCAAATGTCAAAGATGCAGAGAAAAGGGGAAAGGATGCAGAGAAAGGGGAACCCTCTTATACTGCTGGTGGGAATGCAGGCTGGTACAGCCACTCTGGAAAACAGTATGGAGGCTCCTCAAGAAGTTAAAAATAGAACTACCTTATGACCCAGCAATTGCACTAATGGGTATTTACCCCAAAGATACAGATGTAGTGAAAAGAAGGGGCACCTACACCCCAATGTTCATAGCAGCTATAGCCAAATTGTGGAAGGAACTGAGATGCCCTTCAAAGACGAATGGATAAAGAAATTGTGGTTCAGATATATAATGGACTATTCCTCAGCCATCAGAAAGGATGAATACCTACCATTTACATCAACATGGATGGAACTGGAGGGTATTATGTAAGTGAAATAAGCCAATCAGAGAAAGACAATTATCATATTGATTCACTCATATGTGGGATATAAGGAATAGTGCAGAGGATCATAGGGGAAGGCGGGGGAAACTGAATGGGAAGAAATCAGAGAGGGAGACAAACCATGAGAGATTCCTGACTCTGGGAAACAAACTGTGGGTTGTGGAAAGGGAGGTGGGTAGGGGGATGGGGCAGCTGGGTGATGGGCATTAAGGAGGACATGTGATGTGATGAGCACTGGGTGTTATATGCAACTAATGAATCATTGAACACTACATCAAAAACTAATGATGTATTATATGTTGGCTAACTGGATTTAAATTTAAAAAAGATAGATCATGCAAAATAGTAACCAAAAGAAAACTGTAGTAACTACACTAATATCAGACAAAAAATAAACCTCAAAACAAAAATTTTACTAGAGACAAAGAATGGGGCACCTCATCAAGAAGAGATAACAATTATAAGCACATATACACTTAACATCATAACCCCAGACTACATGAAGCAAAAGTTGACAGTAATAGTTGGAAACTTCAATAATAGTTGGAACTTTCAATAATGGATAGATCTGGACAGAAGATTCTCAGGGAACTGGAAGACTTGAACAATACTATGAACCAACAGACATGTGTAGAACACTACACCAAACAACAGCAGAACACTCATTCTTCTCAAGTACACATGGAATATTCTCCAGGATAGGCCATGCGTTAAGCCATAAAACAAGTCTGAAAAAATTTAAGAGAATTGAAACCATATAAAGTATGTCTTCTGACCTCAACAAAATGCGATCAGAAATCAGTAACAAAAGAAAATTTCAGAAATTCCCAAATAAGAAAGGATGTTTAAAATATATATTAAAGTACTTTTTGAATTTAATTTCTAACCAGGAGTTTAAATTGACAGTTTTAAATAGAGTTTAAAAAAAGAGATGTTTCTGTTGAAATTATTAAAAAAAATGTTAATGGCCTTAATTTCTCTTTCTCCCCAGTACTGAAGTAGAATTACTTCTATATCTGGGATCCTCTTTGAAAGAAAGTATTCTGTAATCATCACCAATCACTTTTCCCCTCCACTTTAGCCCTGATCTTACACTAAAACTAATTTTGTAAATAAATTTTTCTAATCGTTGCTCAGTTGATGCAAGCTGATCATGTCAACTGAAAACTCAAAAAATTCTTAATAGCAACTCCCCAAATTAAACTGCTAGTCAAAAGCTAAGTGGGAAATTGGCTTTGCAAATTTTGGATTTGCCAGTCTCCATAGTCATGTTAGCTAATTCCCTATAGTAAATTATAATATAATATAATATAATATAATATAAGTCTAATATAATACAAATTCTGAAAAAAGCTAAGTGTTTTCACTACTCTCATAAGAAACACTCCTTCTACTAGAAGATTCTAGTCATTTTAACTTAATAAATATTTATTATATACATCTTCTCCTAAATACTGTGGGGATTATAACAGTAAATGAGATTCAGATTCTGTTGTCAGCAATGTTGTAATCTGTTAAGCAGTTGGTCCTCATAAGACAAGCACACAAATAACCTCAATTACATTCAAAATGTGATAAATGCAATGATTAGGGCATGAGAGACTATAGTTATTCAAAAAGGGAATTGTTACATTCAATTAGAATACTCAGGGAAAGCTTCTCATAAAACAATGGTTTGCAACCTTGACTGCTCATTAGTATCACCCTGGTCACTTTAAGATACTTTGGTAACCAGACTTCATTCCAGACTAAATAAATCAAAATATCTCAGGCAATTGGCCTGAGCATCAGGATATTTTAAACCTCCCTAGGTGATTTCCAGTGTGCAGCCAAGTTTGAGAATCATTGCTATAGAGGATGGGGGTAAGGAAGGAGTAAATAGAATTAAAAAATAGGTAAGATTCAAATTGAAAGGAAGAACTTGGAAGAATCCTCTCCTCATATAGCTAATTTATTTTCATTCTCCAAATCTGAGCTCAAGTATAACATTCTTTCAAAAGCTTTGAAAAACTTGACTCCACTTGATAATAATGGTATAAAACCTGACACTTTTTATCATCCTTGCTATATGACAAGTATCATTGTGAACACTTCAAATATATTTCAATATTCACTTCTTCCCAAAACACTAGAAGATAGATAGTATTATTATTCCCATTTTACATGAGAGGAGAGTAAGTAAATTGGCAAGGTTATACAACTAAGAAGGGCAGAGCTGGAATTCAAATATATATAATGACTCCAAAATCCATGTTCTGAAACATGACCAACTAGAGTTAGATATTCCTTATCAAGACTCTCATGGAACCCATGCATATTTCTTCTTCTCCGTCTCCTTCTTTTCTTCTTTCCTCCTTCCCCACCCCCTCCTCCTTCTCCTTTTTTTTTTTTTGGAACCCATGGATATTTCAATCACACCACGAATCACATCATATTGTAAGTGTTTACTAGATTTTTCTCTTCCACTAAATCATTTATTCACTCATTTCACTCATTCATTCAGTAAATGACTACTGAAAAAGTGCTTGGTACTAGACATAAAGTCATATATGTCATACTTTATTTGTCAAAAAGTTTTAGTCTAGAGGAGGGGTCAGCAAACTATAGTTCACAGGCCAAATTCTGCCGGCCACCTATTTTTGTAAATACATTTTTATTGAACCACAGCCATGTCCATTAGTTTATGGATCATCTATAGCTTCCTTCATGTTACAGCATCAGATTGGAATGGTTGTGACAGAGATCATCTGGTGGCAAAGTCTAAAATATTTACTATCTTGTTCTTTATAAAAAAACATTTGCCAACACCTGGTCTGGAGAATAAGACAAATAAGAAAATCATTAATGACTACCCAATGCTATTGGTGAACAAGATATATGGAAACATAAAAGAGAGATACCCAGAGTAGGTTAGGGCATCAGCAAAAGTATTCCAGAAGATATGATATTTGAGCTAATTTTGGAAGGGTAAGTTGAATTAACTAGAAAAAGAAGAGCAACCAGATGTGTCAGCAGGATCCTACTGGGAAGTTTAGCAATGATCCAGGGAGCAAGATACTACTTACAATAGGAATAAAGAGAGTAAATATGTTTAAGAGATACTAGTCCTACATAACTTTGTAAAATATTTTTGATTCCTTCATTCTCACTAGCATAGCAAGTAATGCATACAGTTAGAACTCATTAAGTATTTGTTAACAGAAAATATTAAGTCCTAAATGAAGGATATTTATTAAAAAGGGGAAAAATAATTTGCCTTCTATTAGTCCTTAAAAAGCACTGATGTGGAGAAAAATGAACCCTCATGCACTATTGGTGGGAATGCAAATTGGTGCAGTCACTGTGGAAAACAGTATGGAGTTTCCTCAAAAAATTAAAAATAGAACTTCCATATAATCCAGTAATTCCACTACTGGATATTTATCCAAAGAATACAAAAATACTAATTCAAAAAGATACATGCACCCTTTTGTTTACCGGAGCATTATTTACAATAGCCAAACTATGGAACTATGGAATCAGCCCAAGTGTCCACTGATAGATGAATGGATAAAGATGTGGTGTATACATATGTGGTATATATATACTGGAATATTATTCAGCCATAAAAAAGATGAAATCTTACCGTTTGCAACAACATGGATGGATCTAGAAAGTATAATGCTGAGTGAAATAAGTCAGTCAAAGAAAGACAAAATCATATGATTTCACTCATATGTGGAATTTAAAAAACAAAACAAATGAAACAAAGAAAAAAGAGACAAACCAAAAACAGACTCTTAACTATAGAGAATAAGCTGATAGTTACTAGAGGGGAGGTAGGGGCGGGGGATGGGTAAAACAGGAGAAGGGGATTAAGAGTAGACTTATCAAGACGAGCACTGAGTAACGTATGGAACTGCTGGATCACTATATTGTACACCAGAAACTCACATAACACTGCATATAAAAAAATAAAAAAGAATTCTAATTTTTTCACCTACCACCCTAGAGCGAAAAAAAGCTACCACTTGTTTTCAATTGTATAGATGTATATTAACCATAGTTTTATAAATGTGAAATGGTTACAAAATACTGTACCTGGAAAATTCATAGGCAGCTCAAATGGTTGTAAAGACTCACAACCCTCAGCGTGCTCACAAATTTCAGCTATGATCTTCTTAATTTTGAGACCAGTAATTTTAATCACTTCTCCTGTTGACAAACAGCATTCATTTCCAAACATTTCATAAATGGAACCTAAAAAAAAAAAAAAAGGAAGAGTTAAAACAGCTTTTAAAAAAAGAATTAAATAAGGAAGAACAAAGTAGGAGTTGAAAGCTTCATATATTGTTTTTATTCAGTTCCTCTCCTAGCTACCTACTAAACAGGAATTTAATCAAGCTTGGTAAAATGTACAGCTTGTACCAAGAAAAATATTAGATTTTCACTTCATCCACTGGGCAAAGTATAAACAACCTTATTTTTGTTATTATTGTAAAATAGATTCATGGTTTCCTCAGCACCTTTAGCTCATCATTCCAAGGTCAAACCACAAACATGTCTTCCATTGCTGGGATTTATGATCTATTTCTGCTGGGTCACAGAATTAGGCTCATATGAGTCAACAATGATCTAAGTATGTATTGCAAACAAGGCTGTAATACAATCCAAGGCTCAAAGACAGAGTCTATACACCAGGGCCTTATATTAAGAGCATCTTATCCATTTATTGAACCTGTTTCTCTTCATCATCATGAATACAAGACTTTCTGTCCATTTTATCTCTTGATTTTTGACAAGCTGGAAATACCTCTTGGTATCTTTATGGCAATAGGGGGCAGACCAGCCCAGATAAACTGAAAAGCTTCATTTTAGTTCAGAATTTCAGTCTCTTTCCTAACTAACCTCTTATCATAGATACTAAAGCTAAGCTTTTCATCCATTTATTTTCTTTTTCTATCTCCTGATGGAAGAAGAGAGTGCAGTGAAATAACCAGAAAATGAGCAACAGAAAAGAGGAGAGGCAAAAATTCTGGATAATCTACCTCAAGTAAAAAGGGAACAACCCAAACATTACATCTCTAAGACATTATTACTTTACAACTGAACGGTAAATGAAAGGCTGACGTAAAAAAATATTATAGAACTGTGGGGATTTAAACCTATCAATTTTTCCCTACCTCCAATATGATTTATATCCTCTTTACCACATTAAAATGTGAACAGTATAAGTATGAGATTTCGGGTTGGTCTGCTTTCCGAATTCTTCTCTACTGAACCGCCTCCTCATAGAATCTTACCTGATATACAACACCTAAAACATTTTTGTAGCATTAATGGTTATCATAAAAGTTATTAAGCCGGGCATCCAATCCAGCATTAAACAACTCCATGATTGTATCAGAGTGTTAACAGGGAACAGGGGGCACACTCAAATTAGAATAATTTAAGGAGATTTTAACAAAGGGGCAATTTACACAGAGGCACAGCCAGTTCTAGGTAACACAAGAAAATAAATATCCTGACCTCACTCTTCTCCCTCCATTTGATCCTCTGCCAGGGTACGTCCCTTCCTTTGGCCAAATTCAGCCAGAAGCCAGAGGACAAGAGAGCTACTGATGCCACCACAGAAGTCAGCCTCCAAGGTAGAGAGTGGAAATGGAAGTCCAGCACACCATTCTTACTGCCCATTATTGAATAAGGACTATTTTTGCAAATATGCGAGTATATTTGCTCCTCAAGTTCTGAGTATGTACTTCCATAGCTCCCTCCTTTTCTAATGCCATTCCCTTAACTATGTATGTGTTCATACCTCTCATTAACTCCCATACATAGTGTTGTCAGCTATCTCCAATCTTTTGTGGAACAACTGGGATATTAAAGACACAGTAATAAATCTATAGTGACATTTTTCTCCAATGAACTTAGAACAGTTATTTTCTATGATCCTCATTTGGCAATTAATCACATACTAACATGTTATACCTTCAGTATTATCTCATCCTGTACTTAACTTTTTATGATTTTAGTTATTACTCCCAATTCAAACTTCATGGAAGAAAATACTGCATTATATCATTGCATAACATATTTATAATATATTGCATTGCATATATATTGCACAACACATCAACTGCCCTTCCTCATTCATTCCGCAAACTTTAATGGAAACCTACTATGTGTCAGGCATTCTGATTGGCAGTAGGTAACAGAGATAAAATGCATAATCTCTTCCTCCCATGAAATGTTGTCTTGAAGCAAGCAGACAAGTCAGCAGACACTACAATAAATTATGAGAAAGTTATAATATAGGAAATACAGGGCATTGTGGGAGAATACTGGAAGCATTTAATTAAACAATTACAACCTAAAGAGATTAGGGAATGATTCCTGGAGGAGACCACAGCTGAGCTGAGGGTTTTTTGTTTTTTTTTTTTTAAGATTTATTTATTTATTTGAGAAAGAGAGAGAATATGGGAGGTGGGGAGAGGCAGAGGGAGAGGGAGAGAGAATCTCAAGTAGACTGTATGCCGAGCATGGAATCTGCCACAGGGCTTGATTCCACAACCCTGAGATCACAACCTGAGCTGAAACCAAGAGTCAGACACTTAACTGACTATGCCACCCAGATGCCCCTAGTTGAGCTGAGTTTTAAAGGGAGCAACACAGGATGTTGGGACAGGCAGAGGAAACAGTATTTGAAAAGATAGCGAGATGTGAAAGAACTTGACACATTCTGGAAACTTCAAGTAGTTTGTTATGTCTCAAATGTAAAGAAAGAACGGGATAAGAAAGGAGACTAGAGAAAAAAAAGAACTCCAGATCACGCAGCATCTTTATGAGATTACCAATTAACAAAAAGGTCAAAGTCTGATGCAACCTCAAAGTCAGAAAATCTAAATTTTCAGTTATCATGGTTCAGGAACTAATACCAATTTAATAAGAGGTCATATGTATCTAGGTGCTTGCTATCCAAAGTGTGGTCTACTGTATCACCTGGGAGCTTGTTAGAATCTTGGCCAGACCCCAGACCTGCTGAATCAGAACATGCATTTTTTAAATTTTATTTTATTATGTTATGTTAGTCAACATACAATACATCATTAGTTTTTTTTATTATTATGTTATGTTATGTTAATCACTATATATTACATCATTAGTTTTTGATGTAGTGATCCGTGATTCATTGTTTGCATATAACACCCAGTGCTCCATGCAGTATGTGCCCTCCTTAATACCCATCACTGGGCTAACCCACCCCCCCCACCTCCCTCCCCTCTAAAACCCTGTTTGTTTCTCGGAGTCCATAGTCTCTCATTGTTCATCTCACCCTCCGATTCCCCCCCTTCATTTTTCCCTTCCTTCTCCTAGTGTCCTCCATGCTATTCCTTATGTTCCACAAGTAAGTGAAACCATATGATAATTGACTTTCTCTGCTTGACTTATTTCACTTAGCATAATCTCCTCCAGTCCCATCCATGTTGATGTAAAAGTTGGATATTCATCCTTTCTGATGGCTCAGTAATATTCCATTGTATATATGGACCATATCTTCTTTATCCACTCATCTGTTGAAGGGCATCTTGGCTCTTTCCACAGTTTGGCTATTGTGGACAGTGCTGCTATGAACATTGGGGCGCATATGGCCCTTCTTTTCACTACATCTGTGTCTTTGGGGTAAATACCCAGGAGTGCAATTGCTGGGTCATAGGGTAGTTCTATTTTTAATTTTTTGAGGAACCTCCACACTGTTTTCCAAAGTGGCTGTACCAACTTGCATTCCCACCAACAGTGTAAGAGGGTTCCCCTTTCTCCACAACCTCTCCAACATTTGTGGTTACTTCCCTTGTCAATTTTTTCCATTCTAACTGGTGTAAGATGGTATCTCAATGTGGTTTGGATTTGAAATTTCCCTGATGGCTAATGACGATGTGTCTGTTAGCCACTTGTATGTCTTCTTTTGAGAAGTGTCTGTTCATGTCTTCTGCCCATTTTTTGACTTGATTATTTGTTTTTTGGGTGTTGAACCTGCATTTTTAATGAGATCTCCAGATAATACATAAATACATTAACATTTGGAAAGCAGTGATCTGGGCTACAAATGTATAACTGGAAAAGTCTCTGTCTTGAGACTGTTGCAAAACTAACCAGAAAAGGAAGGACATGCCATACAAAAGCATTCAGTGTCATTGAGGTGGAAGATGTTTTAAGTGGGGACAGGGAAAAAGAAAGATTTTAAGTGACATGGTAAAATTTTTCTTTGTCACATGAAAGAGAATATTAGCTGAAGTCCATTGGACTTAATTTCAATGCAATGAGTGTCTTAATTGTAGGTGTAATATATATCAAACTGACTGACTTGGAATGCCATCTTTCTCTCAAAGTTTCCACTGGAATTCAAAATTAAAAGATGAATTTATGTGAGATTACATATCAATTTACACGATTAGAGGCCAGAGAATTCTATGAAGAGAAAATTCTGTTTTAGTCACCATACAAGCTTTTGACTTTTCAGGTCCCTTTCCAAGAATCTCTCTTTGCGGGGGGGGAGTCACTTCTTTCAGTCATATAAGGAAAAGAACCTCATGCAAATATTAATCTTTTACATTTATCTTTAATTATTTGTGACTTTCAATTTCGTCTACCCAAGAATGGTGTTAACTCATTTTTAATAAAGAAAGTGGTTGCTGACACACAACACTACAAGTTATGTCTATGAAAGGAGACAAGAACATACAACAACTTCAAATCCCTGAAATTTGAAGGGTTCCTATCCTTTGTTATCACCAAAATAATGTCTCCTACAATATTTTTCTTCAGTGAAAATATAAAATGGTTAATTTTTAAAATAGCCAACTTTCATAATCTCAGAACTAGCTAATATAACATATGTAATTGCCTTTTAAAAATTTGCTGATATGCCTGAACCACGTTTATGTATAATACAGATGTAGATATTAAAATAGTTTTCATTTCATTTTTACCATGACATGTATTTGGAATATGCAAATCTCAAATCTATTAAATCTTTATAGACCGATTCTTTCCAAGTCAGAACATATGTATTCAGGATAATGCCAAACATCAGAGAAATCTGGAACAAAGCAGGCTGTTTTCAGTGATCAAACATTGCCCCTGAAGGCTGTAATGAAAGAGCCATGTGCCTTTGAAATCACCTTTCCTGTAATGCTACTTTGCTCGATAAAAATGACACATTAATATCCTTTTATGAGCTCATCCGTTCTTTGACAATCCATACAAGCA